GAGCCTAACTGATGATGCCACTTCGAGATCAAGCATTCGCTAAGCCAGTGTCGCCAAAGGTTAGGCCTGTGGCCGGTCATTACGAGGTGACACACCGCTCGTGATTGGTGACTAGTGAGTAGTGACTCCGAATTCATCCTCGGAATTGTCGCATCGAGGAACGGATTTTCCCCGTGACAAGTGGGATTTAGGCGTCGTGTTGTGTACTTTCCTATTCTCTTTTCCCGAATAATTGCCTTCTGTCATTACGTCTGGTTGTGGAAACATAAGCTATCACCCCACTTTGGCCACTCGACTCGGGCTCTCAACTAACAAACGCCTCTCAATGACGAAGCTTTCAAGATAAGGTGGTGACAGTAACTTCTACTTACCAGCAGCTCCACGTTCAAACCAGTAGGGTTTCGTCTCCTGTTTCATAGGTATCGAGTTATTAGTCATTAGGGCAGAAGTCGTAAGCTCTCTGGAGAGTACTGTGTAGAACATCCTCTATAGGAAATACAAGCCACGTTACCTGAAGAATGACTTGGACACTTTTGGACTCATTAGAAGTTCTGTTATTTCAGCTACGTGTGGTTGTTTTCAACGCAGAGGTCCCCCTCGGCAATTGCTTTGTTTGATGACACGGCGAACGGATAATGACATCAAGAAAAAGCGAAATGACATTGAATCGATGCCGTCGAGACCGAACGAGCCCGCCCACCCTTGCCCAGGTCGGTACCGGGTGGAATCTTTTTTTAGAAAATTAAATAAGGTGATCGTATACTTTCATGTAAAAGTAGAGATAGAGATCTCCGTACGCTCCTTGGATGAAAGAGCGAAACTTTTTATCTTTTAAAAGATAATTTAAGAACATGATTAGCTGTAAACAAATAGTCTCTTTAGTCCCATCCCCACAATTGCCGGGAAAAGAAGAGGGATGAAAAGGGCGTTGTTAAAAAGTTCATTTGAATCCCTAAAAGTTCCGTATTTTAGAAAAGTTTATGTTGATCTAACTATTTTTTAATTGCGACGTGACAATGCAATGCATGTTAATATTTTTGCTAACATCTTTTGTCGTATTAACGAAACTTATATCAGTTTATAAGTAATAAATTTTGAGGCTAATTTCACAATCATACTCTCTTGTAATGATGCAATTTAGAGCAATGTACTCTAAAAAACATATTTGATATTTTTTTTTCATCCTAGTGCATCATCAAAATTACCTTAGAGTAAACTATTTCTAAAACTTAAAATTATATATTGTAATTTAGTCTTGACTAAGCTTAACAACAAGATCAATTTGTCCGGCTAATATCCACTAAACGTTGGCTATCGCGTTTATATACTTGCGAATTATTTTTTCACAATGGATATCCATACGTCATTAAACTTTTTAAACATTTCCTGAACACTTTGCATTGTAGATCTCCAGTTAGAAAAGTTAGAGTGCAAAGCATAATATTGTAGAACTTTAAGGGCTCAACATTAAAAATCTTAGATCCTAACAATCGTAAAAGAAGAAGTCAGGCCCGAAATAGGGGGTTGTTGGTTAGAAATTATAGATTATAATTAATTTTCTGTTTAGGCTTCACAATTAAAATATATATAACTAAGCTAAAGTTTTAACAAAGTAAGTTTACTTCAGTAAATGACTTATCAAGTCAGATCTCCGGTTAACCATTAAGTAAATCCCCAATTCAATCGTCCTAAACATTATTATCTTATTTGGTGCTTGACGATATCATCTGAACGGGATAGCAAGAAATGTCCCTATAAAAAGCCTTTTTGGAACTAGAAGCAAGATCGACTCAGAAAAAAGGAAGGTGATCGGCACCACAATCAACGGACTTGGAGGCGCAACAAACTACCACCGCGCAGCAGTCGCTACTCGTAGGTGACCCCAGTGGTGATCGTGGCTCTTAGGCGACTTCCCTCCCAAGCAATTTAACTGATTTTTTTATTTGTTTCATTCCTATTCTAAGAGTGCCAAATACTTGACGGGAATAGAAATGTCCAATTTTTTACATGTACGATCTAGGGGATTTCTTATTCCATCTTGTCCTATCCCATCACAATCCTTACTTTGACGACTAAACGCAGCCATAGGACATTGTGGATGAAATCCCAAATACCATTTGCAATCTGTTTAAGACCTATTAGGGTGGCGATGGGAAGGAATCCCCTCTATATCTCACACCTCTGGTTCTAGAAACAAAGAGACAACAATTACAAACCCCAATCGCTAGCTAATAGAGCTATTAAGTAACGTCAATGATCTTAATTTGCTGAAGGTAGCTAGCAAGCTCTGCTTCCACCATGCACCTCCGGAAAACCCTTAATCCGATTAATCTTCAAATTTAGCGCGTCGTGTCACAAATCAAGGTTCAGGCTAACCAAATAACTCGAGGTAGAATATACAGCTTAAGAAACTGATTTAATCAAACCAAAGTTACGTCTGTAAAAATATCTCGTCTCTCTTTATGTCTCCATGTTTTCTTTGTAATCACACACAGACGAAGAAGGAGAACAAGATTAAACATGGTTCAGTCGACGAAGGAGAGAACCTTTGGAAGGCGACGTCCATGATGAGAAACCCCCAATTCATTATATCACTTTGGGAGGATTTCATTATCTTTAAATAAGTGAGAATCTACATTTATGGGGATAAACGTAAATATCTATTGGAAAGGCAAATATAATTATTATTTCCTTCTTTATTGATTTGAGCCGAGTCTCCTACTAAATTTGAACTATGCTGACTAGTCATCTTACTTTTCCAACACTCCATGAGGAAGATTTGAACCCATCAACCTTCGACACGGAAGAGAGATTCCTTTCGACAAGTTAACACGCAAATTCGATGGATCCGTGAAAATAGCCATGCACACAATACGGACTGATGTGAAGGACCATTTGATCTTTCACATCATCGTCCACCTATAATGTAGATTGAAGACTTAGAAGTATGTGGATGTGTATCTAATTTCATGCATTTCATGTGCTCCAAAACGAAGTGCACATGAAGTTTCTCCGTCCTCGATCGTTTCATAAATCGTTGATATGATCATAAGCGTCCTTCACGCAAGCAAGGGGGGGTTTCGATCCATCTGCTTTCTATGTTTTGTCCATGTCTATTAGGTAGAGGACTGCTAATTGCCTGGTGATATTCTATCCCCAACTTATGACTAAGATCATGACACATCACAATCAATTTGAGTTTGGGTGACACACGTCATATCTTCAAGAGGTAATTGAATCGATCTATATTCTTACTCGACTCACATGAGCCAGGTTCAGTTAGGTATACTCCTTGCATGGCAGACGATGAAGTGTTCCATCCAATTGTACTTGTTAGTTTATACTTTTGTTTACTAAGATCGTTTAGTCGTAGTCTGGACATGTGGAGATATAGTCGTGAGCTCCATTAAATTTATCACCTCTAGATAATTGAGACAGACAAGAAAGAGAGAGACAAAGTTATGGGGTCGATGATGAGCAACGGCTACCCTGCGGGCGATGAGGTGCAATGAGTGTGAGGAGCGTCGATCGGTGGATAATATTCATAGACATCGCTGAATGCAACAATAAATGTTGGTGATGTTCACAACTTGTAACCCATCAATCAGAATGGTGATTGGGCGATACGGTCCAAAAAAAGAAAAAGAACTAAAAGAAAAGAAAATTCAATACACTAGGGTTCAATGACCGCAAAATACATACATACATATACACATATATATAGGGATCCAGTCTCTGTGATATGAGTCATGTAAAGGCTATGTCTATGATACATGTGGACTCTACCACGCAAGCATTACATGAATATATTTGTAAACAGGTCTAATGAATGTTTGAGCTTCGATTCCGGACCAAGAGGCAGATTGGATAAATTTCACTGCAAAATGATAGTTTCAGGACACTAGAATTAGAGCCTACAACATATTGGAACGGGGGTGGAAACGGTAGCCTTTGAACACAACTAGCTAGGCAAATCTAGGTGCGCGTTGGTATCGTCTCTTCGTAGACATCCGATAATATTGCACTGATTCAGTGAATTTGTATCACATACAACACATGTTAAAAGAGCAATCGGTTTCACAAGATGTCACGGACGTCCGAGTTCAAGACGTTCTTAGTATTCTTAGAGGAAACATATGTCATGCATCTACTACGCGCTCACTTGTTTATTGTTTTGAGCATAAAAAGAATACATTTTTTTTTTGTGCTTGCCGGCTTGGTAAGTTTGTAAAGAGAAGTAAGTTTCTCCATTGCAGCTACGTTTTCTGTGTAAGGTAGATACGTGATTTCCATCATTAATCTTGTCATTATTTAGGTCCTAAATAGAGTGTTGTCTCATGGAACCTGCTATCATTATCTCAGCTTTAATTTTTGTCTAATCACTTTAATGGGCTACCGAAGCCTCGCACATGGGCCGGCACGGCCCGCTAGAGCGACGGGCCATCCGTGTCTGCCTGAGCACACGGCCCATAGGCCAGCCCCTAATTAAGGATGAAGGATATGTGAACAAGTTGATTTATTTGTTATCCGAGTATAAAGCAAAAACATCGGACCTGAGCAAGTCCTTAAAAAGCTCAAAGGGCTCCGCCGTAAAGAGAATCTGTCTGGGGTGGGAGACCCCTATAGCATCCCTATATTCTTTTTCTCAAAAAGAAAAAGGTTGGGAGGGACTTGGGGAGCGTTCGGTAGAGAAGGTAGACTTCACATTAGCTTCAGCTGGTTACCTCCGGGTAGATAGGTATAAAGCCTCGCGCGCCTAAGGTGACGGATGGGAGTTTCGGCTCCTGCTAACTAGCCGCTAACGCGAATCAACCCGCAAGGCCAGCTCGGTACCCACGGTTTCTTTGATTACATGAGAGCAATATTTTAGAGAGAGAAATGTTGAAATGAAAGAAACGGCTGAAGGTGGCAATTGGGAATTTTATGAAAAAGGCAGGGGCCAAATTTGGAAAATGAGTTTCAAGTGCACCAACTCTCCAGTAGATTTCAAACGCCTTCAATATCTGAACCTAAGTTTTCCATTGCCATTCCAGACAGAGGAATGGTCCAAATCCTGAGCCAAAAGTTTTCCCTAAGCTTATTCTTCAACCACTAGGAGCCAGCAAGCAAAAACTATTAAGACTTTACATGCACCAGGAATAAAATCAGCTATGGAATTTGTCAAAGTCACTAGATGAATCTGACTACCAAGTGTCTATCTACTCATCCTCGAACCGATGAATACTAACTACTACTGGCTTTTTTTTCAACTACGAAGCTCTCTTCCGGTTGCCTCTTCCAGAAATAGTAGGAAGCTTCGATCCACCGCGGATGGACCAGCAACTTCTTTTCCTTGACCGACCAGCGCGACTTCTCCGTCCCGGCATCCGTTGCAACCACGTGGGTCACCGAATCGTCGAGGTCCACCGTGCACGTGGCTCCCAACTGCTCCGCCATCTTCCACAGCTGGTGGTGGCAGGCAGGGAAGTTGGTTGGGAACACGCGGCTGAAGACGATCTTACAGCCTTCAAGGACTTCCTTGCGGAGCATCTTCAAAACCTGCCCAACCGAATACACAAGATGACATGTCTGAAGTGAAATGACCGGTTTCCTTAATCTAGCTACTGGCTAGACCCCTTCACTTCAGGATGCTCTCAAATAGGGTACTGCAGGAGTACAGTCCAGTAGTGCTCCACAATCTTTCCCTTGTTCCTATGTTTTGTTTTAACTGCCTATTTATTCTGATCACAATCCCAGCACTAAAATCCTTGTCCGAGAGAACTTAAGGCATCTCTCTGAAAATCTCTTGCCTGTATTCATCATTTCAATACACCTTAAAATCCAAGTGTTTAAGCCAACTTTAAAGTCAGAATTCTAAAATTCCTAGCTAAAGCAGCAGCATATTCATTTCAACAGTATAATTTCTTTACTTCACCGGGAGTATTGGAAACTAGTAATACAAATCCAATCATAAATGGTCAATGAACCCTTAGCAGGAAATATACCTGTCTAACGTCTCTGCCAGCAAACTCGTCCTCAAGTTCCTGCAGTGCAAAAATCCACACATAAGAAAAGACAACAAACAGTAGTGACTCGGTTATTACCTCAGTTATATATAAAGAACGCAGCGCGAGCGTGAGCGCGCGGGCCATACAGTCCACAACTAGGACAATGAATTTGTTGTCTTACAACGCTAAAAACCATAGCCACACTCTAAAAGGTTACAAAGTTCTTATGCAGTTAGAGAATGGAGCATACATGAAAAAATACGGTATGGATCCGTTTGAGGACTCCCATAACAATGGCAAGGGCTCCATCACTCTCGCTTTCATCCGTCTCCATCTCCGAAAGTGATTTACATGAGAATCCAAATTGTTGACAGCTTGAAGCAAAGTAATGATATCTTTCCATCAGTATCAAATTGTCCTTGTGCTTTGTCCATGCCTAAATAATAGGAAAATTCAAGGATTAAAATGATAACTCAAAATTAATATAGAGAGACTACCTCAGAAGGAACAAATACTCCTCTACCAAGCTGAATTTCCTGCTACTGATTTGGCTTCAAAATGCACATGGTGTTTGGGGCATAAAAAGCCAATGAAAATGTCATTCATTGAAGCCAAAAACTAACTGAGAACCCCACGTTGAACACCCACGTTTTATTCAGGATTTAAAATTATCGATCAAATCAAAAACAGCCAATAAAGAATGAAACATGGGATTTTGACATGTTGTAGCTATGTTCTTTGATTTCTTGATATAACAAAATCACCAGAAAACATAATCATTGCTCCATTTACAGAAAAGTTACAGATTCTTCATACAGCCAAATACAAGTATGCATACAAATTCAAACACCCAAAAAAAGGGAAGCAAAACAAAACCGAACAATAATTCTCATGCAACCCAGTCCAAAACATGAAAACACAAGGAAACAAAGACTAAGATCAAACTCCCGACCCAATGAACAGGAAGAAAAAGCAGAACAAAACCAAACACTAATCCTGTGAAAACCCCATCCAAAAGTGATCTTGGGATCATCGCCTTCATAAAAAAAATTGACAGCAAACCATATAGGAATCTGTTTGGGAGTTATTTTGAATTCCATTTACCTGTTCTGTATCATCTAATATCAGTACACAATTTTCTTGGCCCAGCACCACATCAAGACCTTTTTGGTGTCTTTGGGTACCATCATCTCGGGAGATCACTCTTTCATGGAAGTACTCTCTTTTGGGGTCAAGTAGCTTAGCCATTTCCCGGGCGTAGGATCGATCACCCATTGTGTATATATACATCTCGAACATATCACTAGCTTCGTTTAAGAAGGTCCGCACAAAGGGTCTCAACTTGGTCATCGTATGCATATGCTCCAAGACGAAGAGGCTGCCTTTAGAGACGTCTGCACATTACATTTATGATTAAATCCAACAATCGACACAAGAACCAGGACTTAGAAATACGCCCTGAATATAAACAAGAAAATAAGACACGAGGAAACTTGTAATATGGCTCGTGACACCACATAAACTTAAAATTCACAGTCCACACAGAATCTAAACTGGCAGGAAAGGGTATACCTTGCCAAGAATCTACTTTGCCTCTCAGGTGTTCCTCCTCCGGAGAAATATGCGCAAGCGAAGTTGAATTAAGCAATGTATGATCTAAGTCAAGGATCAAGTAAAGCTTTTTGTAACGCAGCAAATTTTTCAAGTCAGTATTCCGCAACCGAGCAATTTCATCGTCAGCAAGCCTTAAACCCTGCATATACAAGTATTAATACATCATTTCCAGTTAAGATAAAAATGGTATAAAAGTTACACATTAATGGGATTTGATTTCATACCTTGTGTATATAGCCAAATGTTACACCTGATTCCTCTTCAAGGCGTTTCCCACAACGCATGCACAGTCCCCCGAAAGAACCAGGATGTGAACACGAATCCTGCTTAATGGTTGTCTCTGCACATTAAATTTTCTGGTCATCCTAGAGAAAAATAGAAGTAAAGCAGCGAAAGAGCATCAGTGACTAAAAACCGACTGCTAGCTCATAATTAAGATCATTCTGTCATTTTGTAACAGGAGCTCAACACGGACTTATGGGTTTTGAAACGAAAGTAAAAAACTGGATAAATAAAATCAACACTTCCCCAGCTGCCAGTTCACCATTGTGGCATTGAGCATGTCAAAGATTCCATCACCGCATCAAAATGCTAGATGTCAAGCCAAAACAAAGCACTGGAAAAGCCAGTTAAGCCATTCATTCTCTTACTTATTTAATCACTGTCTGAAAAACAAGGATTGCAAGACTTAGTTTCTGGCTATTCCTAATGCAAAAAATTGGACATACAAGGGTAACACAACCTTCCTAGTTCAACCACGATGAAGAATCTTCCACTTTTCTTCCCCGTAATTACAATGAATGCATTCTAAAGTTAACAGAAGTATAATGTTGACAGGTCATTAGGATGCAAGTTCAGCAAACGACATTCTATTCATCTATACGTATGTGGTTACCTTAATTGCGCGTGAGCTCGTGCGCACAAGAGCATGTGAGCATATCTCCACAATTATTATAATTCAAATTCAAGCAAACTATTACTTAACTCTTCAGGAACTCTTATGCATGAAATTGCCAAACCACTTTTCTTATAAGTAAATGAAAGTGCCAAACCGTTGAGTCGATAAAAAGCTAGCATCATATAAGAGCTCCTAGTTAATATATTATGTCATGAAATCTCTAGCTCTTCATGTGCTCCTTAAGAATACCTAAGTTAAGAACAGCATCAGACACATCTCATTCAAAATTCGAAGCAATTTACTAGTATCAACCCGTGTAGAATGTCAACATTGACTAGTTTTTAAGTTAACTGACCTTGGCATAAAAAATACCCGAACATTTATATGAATGAGGAAGATCGATGTGATAAAGGTTGTTCTTGCAAGAGCAGCATGCAGAGTCCATCTTTTGCCGGTTTTCTACTTTCCTAGATGAAGTTTCCTAATGTTTTCATACATTTGTCCTAGTAAATGCATCTTTCTATTGCATAAGATTGTGCATGATTAAAGTCGATAATAACAAAGAGCTGTGCTTGATACAATCAATACACACATGTTATCCACAAAGTTAAGCCAATACACCTATGTCAAGGGCCAAAAGTGGTGAAACCTGTATGTAAATTAAAAATGAACTAAGCATGGCCTACACCTGACACGAACCTAGGGAAAGGACATTCCTTCCTCCGGAACCAATCAAAACTTAGCATTCAAGGCAGAAACTCATTCACAAAATTCTTGAACTAGAAATGAACTAATGATCATGTGATGTACCTTAAAGTAGGTTGGGATCAAGAATTTCCTACCCTCTAGAGACCATTTTCGCAGGAATAAAAGAAACTGAAACAGATACACATTTAGTCCAGACTTTTTACCAACAATTTGTTCTGAATATTCGCCTGAAGTTGACCCCTCAGGTTCCTCTAAAATTTCCAGGTTCTCCACCTTGCCCCTCTTTATCCTGGCAATGAACTCGTTAGTTAAAACTCAAAGGAAACCAAGGGACCCGCCCTGCCAATAAAATATAGGTATAACAAAAAGAAGAAAAAGATCCAACATCATTGAACTCTGACACAGTTGTGCATTCAAATTAAGAGAGCTGATATCGTGTAGATATAAAATCCAAAAGTTACAGATAGAAGACCAGAAAACTATTGACACCAGAATTGGACAATGCAACATAACCATTGGTATAAACTGTTCACACTGCAGACATCAACACAACACTATCATCGGACAATACCTTTCGCTTTCATGATCACTCTCATCGTCAGTTTCGTCATTGGCCGATGAACCAGAAGAACCAGAAGCTAACTGCGTGTCGAGGTAGGATGCGAAGTCATCACTGCTAGATGAATGCACTGGCGAATCCGTCACAAGACTCATCTGAAGCAGGTTACATTCGAAATATAAACCTTGTCAAATTTCGAATACTGAATGCCCATTTTAGAGAAGATGTATATGAAAGCAACAAAAGAAGGTGGAAATAACTGTTATCAAATGAAAAACAAAAGTCACCAGGTCAGGACCATTACACACCTTTTTTTGCAAGCTAAGGATGGGAAGGGGGAAGATAAGAACGAAATAGAAGACCCTTGAGACCTCAATTAGGATACACTGCCATTAGGTCAAAGCCTTGATCTATACACACCACTCGGTCGAAATGGTGAATACAGTTAGCACTTTCAACCAACATGAAGATAGATGCCAATAAATGTGTCAGGGTGAAGGTTTGCCCAGCCACCACCCCTGCGACCCGTGCAATGCAAGGCAATCCGCCCCGCCCCAATCCCCACACTGCCCTCACAGGCAAGGAAATGCTCACTCACAAAAGATACAGATAATTCTCGAATCTCGTGTAAATGCACTTGTATTTTGACTAATATTAAATATCCAGCAACAAAAACTAGAAAAAAAAAAACTAATAAGCACCACATATGAGAAGCCATCACAGGCAAGGAAATGCTCACTCACAAAAGATACAGATAATTCTCGAATCTCGTGTAAATGCACTTGTATTTTGACTAATATTAAATATCCAGCAACAAAAACTAGAAAAAAAAAAACTAATAAGCACCACATATGAGAAGCCATCATGGAATTTTCCTGAAGTGGAATAGTGCATGTCCCTCTATTAAATCTTAAACGACAAGATTTTCCTATACCTTCGCCTTATGTGAGGAAAATCTAGTAATGACTCCTCCGGATATTCGATCTGTATCAATAGCAGTTTCCAGCCCAAAATCGACAAAAATCTCTAAGGGGACCAAAGAGGCAAGACCAAGTTCAGTGTTCGCTCGACACTGTGCATACTTAAACGGAGTCTACGAAACCGTGACCAATTCCATGCTCACCAATGGCTACACAAGATGATGTCCCGAGGGAAGGACACGAAAATTAAAGAGATTACGGAAGATCCCGAAAAACGAAAGAATCAATCTAAGTCAATCAAATTCCTCGTCTAGAATGAAAATTCAACCAACAACTCCAAGAATATGAATTTCTCTAATTAACATATATGTATGCATGACCGAATTGGGGTAAAGATTGAATTTTGGACTTAAAGATCGGTTCTTCACGCAAGTGACCCTAATCTAACATGAATGCGGCGTAAACGTATGGAATTAATCGAGTCTCGCGCGAAAATGTAATCTTGCAAACAAAGGTTCAATCTTGAACATTCAAGATATCAATCAAGGGTAAAGTCTAACCTATCCGGATTCAAAGTTATACCTTCAATGGAATGACGCCGGAGGATTGGACGAACACGGTGGCGACCCGCGGACCAGGGCGTCGGAGAGTCGTTGGGCGGGAATCAGGTTCGCGGATGGTATCCTTCGGTGATGGGGACGATACCGCCGGTGCCCTCGCACCAAGAGCCGCCGCCGACGACGGGGAACCGAGGAACGGCAAAGGAGGCGCCGGGCACGAGATGGGGCACCGGCGATGGGGTAGCTCCGTCCGGTCGTCAAAGACTCGGCGGCAAGCCGACGACGCCTCGGTAACCCCGGAGGAACGAAAGCGCCGCGACGGGGCAGGAGTCGCGGTGGCGAGGCTCGGTCGCGATCTCGTCTCGGTAGGGCTCGGTCGCGCGGGCGCGACGCCGCGGACCGGCGGAGGAAGACGCCCCGCTCGGGCCCGTGGTCCCGGCGGGCGGGAGCCGCGGCCGTCGGAGGAGGCGGCGGGGCCGGAGGTGGGAGTCGCGAATTTTGGAGGCGGCGCGGCGAGGAGGAGAGGGAGAGAGGGAGACGCGAGCGCGAGAGAGTAATGCTGTTGTAGTTGCTTGTGAAGTGGGAGAGCGCCTCTTATATTGCCCAGGATGTTTTTTTCCTTTTTCGTTTCCCCTGTCGTGGCCGACTCCTCGACATCTCTGCGTAATATTGCTCTCCAAGTCTTGTCGAAAATCCACTTTCCTAAATCTTAGAAAAAAAAAAAATTCCAACCAAAAAGAAAAAAATCTAGAACTTGGGTTTCGACCCCCAAAAAGAAAAAAAAAATCTAGAATTTGGGTCCGAACAAAAAGAAAATAAAAATTTAGAACTCGGGTCCGACCCCAAAAAAAAAAAAACAGGACTCGAGGCATTCGACCGAAGGAGGGGGGAGCGATGGGCTCGGCCGAGATCAAATGGGCTTGATCTTGAAGGTTCCGATAAGTTTAGGGCCTTGCTTATTTCTCGTGAGCTTAAGCTCAAGTTCATTTAGCATATCGGGGCAATTTCAATATGATCCATGAAATTTACTTAATGTGGACGTGCTATTGCTAAATGAAAATCGTTCCTAGTGTCTGGATGTAAAGCGGATGTCGAATTATGATATGATTTGATATTTTGGTGTAGGGGTAAAATTCGATCCCTAAATTTCTAATATAATGAATGACAAGATTACGAATCGAAAAATTCAAGTGTTGCACAAGAAATAAAGAGGTAAAGAATAAAAGAGCAAAGCAATGCGTAGTAAACGGACTAAGATCGGACTGACTTGTTGATGTGTTATGGGCCTGTCATTGGTTAATCAGAACATGGCGGTGGCCCGACTTTCAAACTACTTAGGGTTTCGAAGAATTATTTAACTGCTCTAACGCTATCATAACTTCATGACCATTACCTAAATACTACGGAATAATGCTTTTACTATGACAGCATTTTTAACACTAATCATATACTAAAGATCACGACCAAAAAATATATATATACACACGCGCACGCACTAAAAATAACATTTGTGATATGTTCAGCACAAATCAGCCTTCCTATCACATTCAAGACTCGTATTTATCGTGAACTAAGACTCTTCATCAATTAATGAACGAGGTTCGGTATCAAGCAGATCTCTACCATACTCTTCATCAATTAATGATCAAGGTTCGTTATCAAGCGGATCTCTACCATATTTTTTCATGTATGCACCCTACTCTGACTGCTATGCTGAGCATGACAGGCCACCCAAAGTTGAAGTGGAGCTTGGAGAAGGCATAGATGGAAATGTAGCCGACGTGGGTGCCGGCGTTGATGAACACCTGAACCACCGAAACACCTGAATTTTTGGTTGATGCATCAAAATGAATAAATGATGAAAAACAAAACCCGGTCGAATTCGTTTCCAGCCCGAGTCATTCCGCGGGGCCCATGCCCAATCTCAACATTTCGGCCCATTAAGCTTGGACGAAATAAGCCCATGTTAATTCGAGGAAAGAAAAGCCCAAGTTAGCCGAGTCACTTCCCTAGAAGTTCGCTGAACTGGTCTGGGATGTGCATGGCGGAATCGGTTCTTGACCATGCACACGCGTAGGCACACGCAGAACCGACGGAGAAATTCTCTCTCTAGGGAGCGATTCTCTTGGCATTTTTCTGCTTCTGACTGTCTCCAGATGCTGTTCACCGCTGCTATATATTCATTCCTAACGCCGTGCATCGGAGAGCTCGGCTCTGCTCTGTTTCTCTGGCCCTGAACGTGTGAAGTGACTCGGCTCGCCGGCCTCGATCTTCATCCTTGGCGCATTGAGGTTGAGAGTTTATAGAGTTTTCGCCGGTCACGGTCGATCATCAATCTCAAGAGGGCGCAGAACTGAAGGAAGGAAATTATTTTTTGTTCCGATTCGCGGCTCTGAGAGAGAGAGAGAGAGAGAGAGAGAGAGAGAGAGAGAGAGAGAGAGAGAGAGAGAGAGAGAGAGAGAGAGAGAGTACGAGAGAGGAACGCTCGAACACAAAATTTACTCTCGTGGAACCAAGTGCGAGAGGCTTCGAGAACACGCTGATCGACGCTGAAATCCGCCATTTAAGGTCACTAGCATTCGCCGACAATCGCCTTGCACCGCTCGCAACCGGAGGTACGGACTCAGAGAAAGAGGTTCGTACACATCCGTCATTGAAGCGAGAGCCGAAAGCCTTCTCGATTGAAAATTCCCTTCGTCTTTAAGCTTTCTCCAATGTTTCTGAACGCTCATAGATCATCGCCGTCTTCAGTTTCTAAGACGCAGATGCAATGCTCTGTTTTGGCTCTGTTTCGCAGCCAAAAAGCCTTGAAGTAATTGGACTTTGCTCGATCACACTCCTGCAGCTTCAACCACCGGCGACGGCAGTCTTGGAAATACTAGTTCTCAGTTCAATCAATGTTCCTGGTCATGCATCTACCAGGTACGAGTGTTCTTAATCAAATATGGCTAATCGAGTATGAGATATGGGGTTGGGACTCTTGTGAAATTCGTCTCTTGTTAAAAGCTTTATCGATGTTTCAACTATGTATTGATGCTGTCATGATGACCTCATAGTGGTTCTTTGCCTGATATGTGAGTAGAAGTTCATTAATCGTAGTGCATGCCACCTATTTGAGGAAATGTCTTGGTGAAATCAGAATGCATGTTCTGTGAAGGAAACAAGTTCGATAGCCATTTCATCTAGTGTTTTACTTCTCGCAATATGATTGTCGCATCATCATGTATGTATATGTCCTTTTTCAAGATTGAACCGAGAGCCATATCTTGTGAACCCAACTATATAACCCGACTCATCAAATCCATGTTACTTCGGTCATGCATAAATCGATGCATGTTGTTTGTTGATTTAACGATTGATGAGGAAATTGTATTTTGTAGCTTTGAAATTACCATGAACAAGACCGACTAATCGAGTCGTTGCTCATGTGGTTGATTCTATTTTCATATTCGATATGTTGACCTCATATTTAATGAAAAGCAGCTTGCTAAAAAAACAAGCCTCGGAATTTGGAGTGGAAGACCTAAGTGGTTCATTAAATGTCATGAATGTCGTTTGGCTATCGGATATGATGGAAAGGGAGGAAAATCTTGAGTATCTAGAAGCGCCGGACCAACTATACACCAATGATGAGATTCAAGAAGTTCCGGAAGAATTGATGATGTAAGTTTGCTTTTTCTCATCCTCTTTTATAGTCACATGTTTAAATTTAACACGAATTTCTCTTGTGGCTATACGCCCACCGATTGAGTGCCAATTGACTTACTTTGCAGGTATCAGTAGATACATGCAATGATCCCGAGGTCGACGGCAACGTCCAACCGAAGTCAACCAAGGACTTTGATCCTCCGGCGAAGGCCCTCCTGCCTTCAAATGCACCATCGCGACCTCCATTACCTCCGTTTTGCTCGGTTTTGGTCAGTCCTCTCTCTCTCTATGTCTGATGTTGTGAAGCATAGGAAGACTCATGGTCGTCCATGAAGTTTGGAAATATGTCTATTCTAATCAATTTTCCATACAGTGAATTAATCTCTTGCAACTTAATTTTGTTACAAAAATAATAATAATTAAGTTATATCTTAGTCATTTCACTTTTTTTCCTAGCTTTGTTACTGATCAAAATGATAGATCCGCTAGAAGTCATTTTTTTAATGCATTGAAAATGAAAAAAATAAAAAAAAATGATTTTGATAACAACATTTACTTTTTTTAGCCAATCAAGTTAATTTTAGAAAAAGTTCATCGCATTTATTATTTCTCATCATTTTTATCTTATAATCATATATATTTGGAAAGTAAATTCAAAGAAAGAAGGAGGAACATAGGGCACATAATATTTTCGTTTATTTTTTTATTTTTTCAATTTCTTGTGTATGTTTATTGTAATATGGTAAAATTGTGATGATATATAAGATTTTTTTTTTTGGATTTTGGCAGAAATAGGAGTGATGAGCGGGGTGATGCTGTGCATAAAAAAGGAGCTAAAGATAACTAACGTGTAAGTTAAAGACCTGACAAGATTCTCAATGCGTTCTCGCTCCTTGGGTCAGTGATTGCAGGGCGAATCTCCAATTGGATCAACCACCATTGTACGTGCTTGTCATGCTCAGCGTGTAAAAATCGCCTTGTGCTCGCTCGTCATCCAGGTCCTTGTCATGCTGAAATCCCCTAGTGGCTCATCATGCACGGCCGCTTGGGTGATGAGAAACACTATTTCGCCACAACCTCCGACTCCAAGGAGGAAGCCGTGCTTCGGCTCGCCAACATCCCTAAGAAGTGCAACTAAGACGTTGTCAAGATCACCAAACGGAGCACAAGAGAGGGGAAGTAGAGGGAACTCCTCCCCTGATCCCGTCCGTTCGCCACATACTCACTGCAGAGCGTTTGTGATGATTAAATTGACTTGAAGATATTATTTTCGATTTATAGTATATATCAATATATTGTTTTTGTAAAGTATTTTTTATTTTTCTTATTCGTCTATCTCATATTTAAAATTTCACGACGATTGTCATTAATATAATTCCTAAAAAATATAATAATTTCATACAAGCCGAACATGTAAAACTAGGATAGGAACCTTAGTCAATACAAATCTCGTAAAAATTATAAAAGATAAAATTCATGCAAAGCATGGCTTACATGATATATTCAATAAGAATGTGAAGGCACTTTTCATAATCGATGAATTGCCATAAGGTCCTTCATTTTAAAATAGACAATGTACCATAGAATTTCTTGCATTTCAATTGGTAAGGTAAGTTTTGCATTTTCGAAAGGATATGAATCCTCTAAAGTAAAGGGATGATATGCATGATGACTGTGAAGCCCCATGTCGGCGTTTGCTTCCCGCCATCATCATATCCTCAGCCTCTCTCTCTCTCCCTCAATAAAAATTGGGGACGCGATCTCATGCTGTCAAAAAATAAGAACAACAAATAATAGGGATGCCCAATGATCGACAAATAAAGGAGTCTCACCCTTATTTGATTCACTAGAGATTACCCGACTCAAATCAAATGACCAAATTTGCTTGCTCTAGAGTTTCTTTTCTGTTCATGAAAGAAAGAACCTGAGATTGCTGCCACCGGGAGATTCCAGCATGACGAGGACCTTGATAACGAGCAGGACCTGGGAGATTGCTCCCACGTTGAGCATAACACAACCCGAGGTTGAAATGGAGCTTGGAGAAGGCATCGGATGTAGATGTAGCCAACGAGGGTGTTGACCTTGATGAATGCCTGAACCACCGAAACGATCATTGATGCATGAATTTTAGCCGGCACATCAAAATAAATGATAATAAAAGAAACTGGTCCAATTCGTTTCCAGCCCGAGTCATTCCGCGCGCCCCATGCCCGATCTCAACATTTTGGCCCACTAAGCTTGAACGAAATTAGCCCATGTTAATTCGAGGAACGAAAACCCCAAGTGGCCCTACACGGTTCCTTCTGGAAGTTGCTGACCTGGCATTTGCACGACGGAATCAGTTTCTGATCGGCACGCTCCCGGGCACACGCCGAACCGACGGAGAAACTCTCTCTCTCGAAGGGAGCGATTCTCTTGGGATTTGCTGTTTCCGACGTCTCCAGACGCTGTTCACCACCGCCGCCTCTATGATTCATCTCTAACGCCGTGCATCGGAGCTCGGCGCTGCTCTGTTTGTCGGCCGGGAGCCGCGTGAAGTGACTCGGCTCGCCGGCGCCGATCTTCATCGCCGGCGTACTGAGACCGAAAGTTATGGAGTATCCGCCGGTCAGCATGGATCATCAATGTCAAGAGGGCGCAGAACTGAAGGAAGGACAATTATTTTTGTTCCGATTCATGGCTTGAGAGAGAGCACGAGAGAGGAACGCTCGAATACAGAATTACGGTCACTAGCGTTCGCCGACGATCGGCACTGAAATCCGCCATTTACGATCGCTAGTATTCGCCGGCGATCGCGTTTAACCGCTCGCCACCGGAGTTAAGGATTTAGAGAAAAATGTTCGTACGTACGCATCGGCCATTGAAGCGAGAGCCAAAAATCTTCTGGATGGAAAATTTGCTTCGTCTTCAAGCTGTCCGAGGCATGGATCCTCGCCGTCTTCAGTTTCTAAGATGGCAGTTGCAATATGCTCTGTTTCGGCTCTGTTTCGCAGCCGAAAAGCCTTGAAGTAATTGTACTTTGCTCGATCCTTCTCCTGCAGCATTCAACCACCAGCGACCACGTCGTCTTATAAATTCGGGGTCTCTCTTCAATCGGTGTTCCTGGTCATCGCATCTACCAGGTACGAATATTCTTAATCTAATATGGCTAATCAAGTTCGATAAATGTGATTGAGGCTCATGTGAAATTCGTTCAGTGTTTCGCTTCTTGCAATATGGTTGTCTCATCTTCATGTATGTATATGTCCTTTTTCATGATTAAATCGAGAGCCATATATCTTGTAAACCCAACCATAACCTAACTAGTTTTGAATCATGCATGAGTCGATTTGTGTTGCTTGTCGATTTAACGATTGATGTGGAAACCGCATTTCGTAGCTCTCAAATTACCATGAACAAGACCCAACAATCGAGCTGTTGCTCAAGTGTTAATTCTGCCGTGTTTCCATCATTGTTGTGTTTTTCCCGTATTCATTTTCGATATGTTGACTACATATTCCGGTTGTATACACGTGGCGGGCATGATAAGGCCCCATGAAAATCATCATGCTCACTGCTCAGGTGAAGTGTGTTTGCGATTTGTTGTTCAGGAAGTAAAAATTTGCATCAATGATGTGTGAGTTGAGTTATGGTTCGGACAGTATAGTCATGAATAAAAAAGAAGAGAGGGACGGAAAGTTAAAAGAGGAGAAATTCATGTTCTAGAAATATATTATAGGATTGAAAAATGAAATGAAATGAATAATAAAAGAGAAGAAAAGAAATTAAAAAAAAAGGGTTCAGCAAAGATAATAGAAATTGGGTTAGGGTTTTGACCTTGGTGTGGTTGTGATGGAAGATGGCTTTAATGTGGGCTTAAGCATGATTTGACAAAAGAATGGGCTTGAGTGAGCTTTTATTCGAAGTTGGGTTTGTGAGGTTTTAATTGAAATAGATATAACGGAGTAAGTCCATTTAAGGGCTTGGCTTGAGTCCCTATTTTCCAGATTTTTTTTTTTTAAAAAATAAATATAAAAATTCCTGAATATAAAAAAAATTGAAAATTTTGTTAGAGAAATAGGCCTTGATTAGGTTATTAGATTTTAGTATTAGAATTGGCTAAAAATTAGCATAGTTTCATTTAGTTAGCGTGCATATGGTTTAGGGTTTTAGTGGACACCTTTGATTTAGTTTAATCTAAGAAGGTTAATCCTTTAGAAAATAAATTGAACTAAGTTCACGCGGGTTGTTGTCTCGGGGCTTAATGAAAAGGCCATATTATATTTTTTGCCTGACTCGTATCGGGTTATTTTACTGCATTGTATATTTTACGAGTTCTTTATTGCGGTTTTTGATGTGTTCGTTGTGATTACTTTTATATTATTTTTTGTGTTGCGATTCATCTTCATAGTTGAGTGGTTAGATTTTATTGTAGGATCATAATGAACATAAAAACATTGCATGGACAGTTAGCTGACAAGAACTTTAGGACTCATAATTGGAAAAAGACTGCATGGACACGTTAGTTGACAAATAATCAAGTTCAGGTACCGAAATGACATTAGTTTAGCTAACTAGTGTAATAAAGTCCCCAGCCCTAGATCTTTTGTTGCGTGGGAAGTGAGATATACTCTCATATCTCACTTGGTTTCGGACCGACCCTAATAAACTTGTGGCGAGTCATCATATTGGAATCTAATAGGTTTAAACAAATCTAAGTGAAAAACCTCAACGTTGCGTGAGGTAAGGGTTTTGGTGAATCTGCGTCGATTGAAGACTGTTGGCCACCCTTAGCATTATCTCTAAATCTGTCTTTTCCTCGACCGTGTTGCTAAAAAAGGGTCGCGACAACGATGTATAAAAAACAATTACCTTTCTAATTTTAATTTTCGATCAACATAAAGAAGTCACAAATTGATGACAAATTAAAAAAGAAAAAGAAAAAGATGCTACAAAATTAAGGGAAAAAAAGAAAGAAAATGAGTTAAGACCTCAGGAATGAGGTCAAGAAGCAGCGGAAGTAGGTAGGGAGACATCGACATGTAGATGGGGGCAATCATGAAGGTGTAGTCAATGCTGATGTTAGCGACGACGCGGCCTGATAGGAGGAAGGTGTAATCGCAGGTGAAGCCCATGAGGAGGGGTCCGAAGAAGAAAATGGCTCTCGTCATCAGGATCACAATCCCATTGGACATCCGCCTCGCAATCGTCAACTCGAGAGCAAGAACATGTTGAGGATCCCCGTCAGGACCTCAACTTGCACGTTGGTTATCTTTAGCTCCTTCTTTACACATAGCATCGCCCCAATCATCATTCCCATCTCCATGAAAATTTAATTTTTTTTATCACCACGTAAATAGTAACTATATACAAGAAATTGAAAAAATAAAAGAAAATATTGTGTGCCATATTTTCCTCTTTCTTTCTTTGAATTTATCTTAAAAAAGTATATGATTATAAGATAAGTTAAGTGTGATATACTTTATCTCAAATTAACCTGATTGGCTAAAAAAAGTGGATGATGTTTTCGAAATTAAGTAATTTCTTTAACTTTTTGCTTTTTTTTTTTTCCTTTGCCGTGCATTAAAGAAATGACCTTTGGCGATAGATCTATCATTTTTATCAGTAATAAAGCTAGAAAAAAATTGCAATCACTAAAATAAAACTTAATTATGATTTTTTTTGCAACATAATTAAGTTGCAAGAGATTGATTCACTGTATGGAAAATTGATTTGCAGAGATATATTTCAAAACTTGATTAACAACCATGGGGTGAGTCTTCCCATGCTTCACAACATTGGACGCGCAGAGAGAGAGAGAGAGAGAGAGAGAGAGAGAGAGAGAGAGAGAGAGAGAGAGAGAGAGAGAGAGAGAGAGAGAGAGAGAGAGAGAGAGAGAGAGAGAGAGAGAGAGAGAGAGAGAGAGAGAGAGAGAGAGCAAAATGGAGGTCTTGGAGGTCGCGATGACGCATTTGAAAGCGTACTTTTTTGGGTGTGGTTTGGCTGGAGGATTGGAGTCCTCATTTGATTTCGGTTGGACATTGCCGTCAGCCTCGGGATCATTGCAAGTGTCTTCTAATACTTGCAAAATAAGTCAATTGGCACTTAATTAATGACGTATAGCTGCATCAGAAACTCTTGTTAAGTTTAAAAATCTGGCTATGAAAGAGGAGGAGAAAAGCAAACTCACACCCATCAATCCTTCGGGAGCTTCTTGAATCTCATTATTGGTGTTACTTTCATTTACAATGAGTGATTGGTCCGGCGCTTCTATATATTCAAGATTTTCCTCCCTTTGCCTCATAACCGATAGCTAAATGACATCCTCAT